CAATATTTTTTCCCTCGTCTTTAGAAGTTTTTAAGTCTGTAAAAAAGAAGTTTTTGAGGAAGAAGAAGAAGTAGCATTTTTTTTTTTTTAGACTTTAGAAGCTCAGAAGCTGATCAAATATCGGGTTAAATATCGGTGGGAGGGCCGATGTCCGATATTCAGTTTTAAGGCCGATACCGATAGGGGGCCGATTATATCGTGCATCCCTACTGTTTTTTCTTATTTTAAATGTAAATTGTCTTGTTTCATTGGCAAAATGTCTCACTTACCTCCTCAATACAAGAAAAAATGCACCTAAGTGACTTATTTAGATTTAATTTTTTTGCAGTGTATTTACACATTCAATGCAATCTGAATAGCTTGAGTATTTCTACAGCAAAAATTGGACAAATGCTGCACTAAGATAGGCATAAAGCATAAAGTTTTCATCTGTAAATGCTTTCATCCCTTCTAAGGAATAATTTTTGATGTTTTAACCCTTTGCCTTCCTTCGCTTGTTTTAAACTGAGGGTACTTTTATCTGCTAAATAAGATCAACATCACAGCACCGAGATGGAAAAAGCCTACAAAGCAACACAAACTCCCTCTGTCACATTCAAGAACCTATGAAATACTTTGTTAAAACAGAAATGTAAAGTACCTAAGTCGCTATTATCATCAGATCTGTTCAGCTGACATGTGTTTTGTATCACGTGGTGCGTGGAATGAACAGGGAGTTAAAATTAACTTGTAAAATGTCAGGGTTCAGATCTCGAAAGGTCACAAGCAGAAAGCAGATTGTGAGTGGACTGAAAGTTGGCACACTTCAGAGGAGCTGTGTTAGAGAAGGAGAGGAGGTGTCTGGATGGAGAAGGATCATAATGCAGCAGTTTGATGGCCTGGAGTGGGGGGCAGCGGAGGGAGAACAATGACTCAGAGCTCCACAGAGCGTGCTCCTACCTGCCAGTCTTGGTGAGCACGATGATGGCGCTGGCGCAGCACTTGAAGGACGCCTCTACCGCGCCGATGGCGACAGACTCTGTAGGGTCACGGGTCAGGTGAGAGGTGCGCCTCAGCTCCTCGAACATCTGCCTGTGGAACATGGCGGCCTCGGCTTCACGGGCGATCTGAGCATTGGAAACAAGCATTTAACGACCAGATTACAGTGGGCTGCAGCCCCACAGCTGGTTTAAGTTAGTTAGCATTTAAAGACAAACAGTGAATCTTAATGAGGCGTTCTTCATAGCTGAAACTGTTTATGCTTAGATGTTCTTAAAAATGAACTTCATGTCACATTTTCTGTAGCTACAGCAATCCCCTGGCAAAAATCTAGCTTATATGTAAATGCTCTTTAGACACTGGTTGTTCTAAAGAGCCAAAAAGATCCAAACAATTCAAAGATGCCTAATTTCAGCCACTAATAGCGTTTTGCATGATAACAGCCAACAATTTTGAATTAGTTGTATTATAAGAGATAACAGCAGTGATGGGA